GGGGATGTGTCAGTAATGGGGGATGTGTCTGTAATGGGGGATGTGTCTGTAATGGAGTCTCTGGTTGCTAAGTGTCTGTAATGGAGAGGGGGGGGGGGAGCCGCCAAACTTCGATTTAAAACTTACACTCACTATTTTCTTCGAAAATACATGTGAGTTCCAAAAAATAGAGCTTCATTTTCTCTATCATTCTATAAAAAAAGAATTTGTTTTTGACTCTTTTATAAGGAAATAAGATAAACGCGACATTACTTTTGGATAGACCTCAGTAGTATAGAGATTGCTGTCGAAAAACGAAATACAGAGGAGAAAGCGAAAAACAAGCATCTACATTTGTTTTCGCGCAAGAAAAGTTGTCAAATTCACGGATGGTCACCTTAATTCATACTTAGAGTCGAACGGTAACGCAGGAACAAATCCACAATTCAATGATCTTTCAAAAAGCAAGCAGTTCATTTCGTTGGATCAATTTCTCAAGTCGATGTAACTTCAGTTGGTTGCGTCATCGCGTTATTCGATGGATCGCTATAGGTACCACGATATTCTTTTGCTTTTCTTACTTATTTCGCGTAAGACTGATGGAAACAGTCTTCACCACTGTGGATTCTTATCCGAAGCTTTCGTCTACTTGCCAAACTGTTCGAATACACGCTGGTAAATCAATGGAACAAAGATGTTATCCTCTTCTAATTAATTTTGCTCATCACTGCTGTAAAACTTCACAAAAGAGAAACTGTCTTACTGGTTTGCAGCATGGTATTCGTCAGTGCATCAGTCTAGATATGACGATTTTCGACGATGATCTTCGTTTTGTTTGGAGAAACATCGACATTCTCAATCGCAGACGAGGCGCTGGGTATTGGTTGTGGAAGCCGTATATAATCTTCCGAGAGCTTTATTTGGCTCGCGATGGTGATGTTATTGTGTATTCCGATGCTGCGGTAAATATCGTTGCTAACATGTCACACCTGACAAAGCTGACTGCGACGCAAGACATTGTTATTTTTATGCTGAAATTATGGAACGTGAGTAGAATCCTTTGATAATAGAGTGTATGAATACATAGCTCAAAATATTAAGAGACGGTCCATGAGAATACAGAACATGACTACACTTTCGAAAATTGTGACACAAAATTTTATGATTCGAAATGAAAGAGGATGATGAAAAACCTACAAATCCCAATTTTTAGAACATTCTCGCTTACCTGTAAAAATTTATGAAGCAAAGACTCAATGCATCCTCAACACATTAAAAAAAAGAACTTTGCTTTTCATCCTAAAGGGCGGAGGAGGTTTTGGGTCGATTTTGGCTCCTATATAAAACATGAACAGTTTCACA